AAGTATTTACAATATGACATGTTTATGATACGATATATTGTGATGTGATATGTTATGTTTAGATTGTTTTGTGTGACCATTGAAGTAATTGTTGTATGAATTGCACGTTATGAAATGAAATGTTAAAAGCACGGAGCGTTATGTTATGTTTTCTAAATTGTATGTATACAGCATGTTATTAATGACATGATATCACAATAAATGAAATGAAATGTAACCCCATCAAGATTACGTATGATACATAAACTGAAAAATGAGAAATAACATGTTAAGCATGAAAGATAATAGCGGGGTTATATTCGTTAATGATAAAAGTAGAAATATTGGGGACCTCATGCATTGTGTGCTCATGCATTTGGGGGGATACCACTATTCCATCACGAGGGTACGGACACGTACATTCAATGGCAGAACAACGATCGTTATGTTTTGTATAGCGTTGTCGTGACGATTACTAATTCTAACGGGTGTCCGGCCTAAGGAGCTCCTAGAGTATGCTCGCGACAAGGAAAGTTGCCAAGCGGTGTGCGAACTGACTAGTGAGCTCATACTCGCACTTATGGGCTGTGTGTAGATATATGGTACACGTCCAAATTACCCATTAGGACAGCACCGTAGGTAGACAGATTGAAAGATATGTCCCCCCATCTCATTTGCATGTGATTGTTGCATAACCCCGATAGGGGGTCACTTACTGAGTATTCTAGAAATACTCAAGCCTCGTGCTACTATATTTTTCATATAAAGGCGAGGTATTCCTGTACCATTGACGACGACACCGCAACTCGAGACCATAACACATGCATAGGATAGTGGTATTTATTTTCTTAGACTTAGGCTAGAATAGGATGTATTTAACTGAGAGGCTTATTTATTTTATTTAGTCTTTGTTATGTCGTTTTAAAGATGTTTTTGAAACACGCAAGTCTATGACTGTGTTTTAATAAAGGTTATGTTTTATGAAATTTAAATGAAGTCTTCCGCATTTAATGTTTATGATAGGTATATAGTAGCGACCTTAAATTAAGTAGAAAATTTCTGGTCATTACTGTTGGTATCAGAGCTCTAGGTTACAGTATCTTGTAGATTAGTCTACGATGTAGGCTTGGCATGTTCCATGGTCCCACCGTTGATGCCCCGTCTCCATCAGGTATGACTTGCATAAGATAAGAAAATAAAATGTTGTTGATTGGTATGTTGTTATTGGTTGGTCATTATAAAATATAACTCATAATTGAACTTTTACACCAATAATTGTATCATAATTGACTGCATTATTATTTGCTTAATTTTATATTTATTATAATGTAGAATATGTTATGTTTTACCTTGCATGGAATGTGAATGTAAATTGTTGTATTGATGATGTTTAGATTTACTGAGGTTGGTACTGTGAATGGGTAGCTATAGTTTTAGTAAGCTACTAAAGGTTAGTGTATGCAGAAATAATTTTGCTAAGGAATGTCATATGCTTCGGTTAGACGTCTCGAATATATATAAATTACTTAGTGTGATGACCATAGATATGGAAAGGAATGCACCAAGGTATACTAACGTGTAAGTAATTTAAAATGAAATGAAAATGACCCAGGAAGCTTGATAAATGACAATATCTTATAGTATGCTATAGATATTAAGGGTGGTGGTGTTTGAAAGAAAATTTTATAATTTTGAAGTATGTAAAGATGAAATTAAAGTATCAGTAAGAAAAAAAAAATTGAGTTAAGACTATAAAAGTTTAAAACGTGTATACTTAAATTGATGGGTGAATGACATAAGTGTCTTTAATGGAAGCTAAGCTTGGAAATTCTGAGATGTAGAAAACTTTCCTGCCTTAATACGAGTTGAAAATTAAATAATAATAAGAATAATAATAATAATACAACCGCAATTATGGAAGTTGTGAGGTGATTTAAAAGTATCGAGCAACAGTTTGGATGAGGCATTACTATCATGGTCAAAATTTTAGAGGCATATGGAGATGGACTATGATATGAGATTGTCAAAGATACCTTAAATTTAAGAAACCATGATTTAAGATGAACTTGGGTGGGGGATACACGAGGATTAGAGTGGGACATTGTCTCTAAATCAACTAGAAGTTTTGTGGTAATCTTCCTTAGGGTACACGAATGCACTTAAGAAGCTCAACATAAACAAATTGTTGTAGAAAGTTACCGATCAATTTTTTCTAGCAATGTCAACCTGGTTAAATGGTATTACCATAGTCAAAGTTTCAAGACTGTTATTTGAAGTTTAATTTTCAAGTATCCCAACTTTTATGGCATCTGAGGATATTCACCATGCTTATATAATACCAATTTTTAGAAGAGAATTTTGTTAAGCCCATTCTTGATATCACAAAGCCGTTGAAAGGATTGTGATGTCTTTCGGTAATGGTTATAGGAACATTAGTTTTGGGTTATACTAGATAAGGTGTACCAAGAGAAAAGCCTAATTGACCATGTTTCCAATGAAAGTTACCAAATTCTCAAACTCTAGCTTGACCACAAATCAAATACGGTAAATCGTTCGTAGATCTATGTAATTTACTAGTGCATTCAATTTGCATTGGGCTAGGGTAGAGTTTTTAACCAGTTCCATGTCATGATTTTGACTCCAAAAATTAACTAGAATTGGAGTAGGTAGCCGAAAGAGAAGAAGTATTACAAATTTCTTGATTTTGTATGGGAAAATAGAAAAATTTGTATAAGGAATTCATCTACAAAGATGAGACATTAATGATGAACCAAATCAAGTGGACAATTAAGAACAATGCAAATACAAACAATAATGAGGGAAGGAAAACCATTCTTTTTTCTTTTTAATTATTAAAAATAGAGAGAACCAACAATTTTAATTGGAAACATATTCCCTGGGAACTTCTATAGTAAATAGACTATAGAGAATTGTGATCAGTCAAATATTGCAAAGCTCCGGTATCTATTACCGGTCAGAATTGGACTATAACGAAATTTCGGTCTATACCAGCACTGTAATATTTTACTGGGGAGGAAGATTAGAATTAGAGATTAATCGAGAAGCAAATATATGAGCACATGTGAGTACGAAACAAAAAATATCTATTCTAGTTCTATCATCAGCTATGGGTTCGAATCTTAAGAGAAATTCTCGAGAATGTTTCTACCCTGAATTTTTCTTTGTTTTTCTTTAATGATAAGGAGAGAGAAAAAAAATGGACCAAAAGAAAACGTCATTTTGGAGTTCTATCAATAATTTTCTTGTGTAGAGTGGGAGATATTTTAAAATGAGATTTTGAGAATGTATGGACAAAAAGGTCAATTAGTGAACTTTTAGCTAAGTTTAGAGAATTTGATTTGGAGAACAATGGAAAGCAGAAACGGTAAAACTATTGATCGAGTAGATGCAATCATAATGGAACAAAAAAGGTGAGGAACTATTAAGATTAAGTTTGCCAACCTTATTGTACACATGAACATTTATTTCAATGAAGTGCATGAACCACAAACCTTAGATGAATTACGTTGCCCATGAAATTCTAGAAGAAGACTCAATATGGCATGATAATGTTATGTACGAAATTTGGTGACGATTAGGTTATGATAACGGGCTAAACCAAGTATAGGTGTAAAATGATTAAAATGCCCCTATAATTATGTTCCACTAATTTATGGCCAAAGTGACCTTTAAGTGACATGAAATTTGATGAGGAGTCTTATGTCATGGTGTAAAGGGATTACACAAAGTTACAAGGCCATTGGAATATGTTGAAGAATTAAACCAAGATTTGGGGTGGTAAATGACCAAAAGACCCTTATGAAAATTCTATGACTTTTTCAAGATCTTAGAAAACTTAAAATACTATAGGAAAATTGTATGAGACTTATTTATTATTTTAATGGTAAGTAGGAAAGATTTTAGGGAATTATAAGAATTTTGGGGTATGAATTAGGATTTAAAATAAGTAACTATTTATCAAGAGACGTTATAAGAAATCAAAGATTTTATGAATCGACCGAGTGATAGGCTTATGAAAATTTTATGAATACAAATAAATGTTTATGACTCATATGAATTATGGTATACTTGTTAAGAATTTTTCTTTAGTTGTACTTCAAAACTTAACAAAGAACCGTTAGAATAAGAACTCGAGTTATTCCAAAATTAAAATACTTTCGGGGACGAAAGTTTCTTTTAGAGGTATATAATGTAATAACAAAAAAAAAAAAATCATAAATAATGAAAGAAATAAAGAAATAAAAATAATTATATAAAAAAATAATAAATATATAAATGAACAAAACCAACATTTTCCACCTCTCTCTACTAACCTCTCATCCCTTTCCACCATTATCTCTCCTTAACCCACAATTATCTCTCCTTAACCTAGCCAGAAATTGCAATAAGAAATAGAAAATCAATAATTAATGGTCAGATTTACTTGAGAAAAAAAAAAAGAATGACCTTTACCTAGTTGAGATTCACTGAAAATTTACCAGAAGATAATCTAATCTAAGGTATATATTAAATCTTCTTTTTCTTTTATCCTATTTCTTTTTTAGAAATTACAACCAATTCTAGTTAGATCTTCATTAAATTATTACAATGGTTTAGGTTTGAGTTAGACACTAAAGGTCAATCATTTATACAAATTTTAGTAAATCACGATAGAGTAGTAATATTAGGTTAAATTTATTGTAACTCCCCAAGCCCAACAGGTACGCTCCATCCTTGTGACTAACACCTTCCTAACCATTGTGAGTTTATATTTCTAGATTTTATTGGAGGATTTAGAGTGTGATTTTTAAATCGGTGCAGAAGAAAGAAACGCTCTGGATGCATCAAGGAACTTAAAAAAAACAAAAAATGGTGATGTAATCGAAATTTGGGTCAAAGTCGACTGGGACAAAAAGGTAATTTTGCCCCACACCTACCACCATGAGGGAGGTCTGGACAGACCTAGAAGGAAGGAAAAGAAAAAAAAAAGAGAAAAAAAAATGAACCGTTAGGATTTTTTTTAAGAAGAGGAAGAAGGAGGGTGAAACGCCCCAAAACCCGAACTGAAGCACCCTCAAACTTAGGTCTCCTACTAGGGCTACTCAGAGTATCAAGAGGACACATCTGAGCGTTGGATCGTTCGTTTCCAGCAAGAAACGGGCAAGAATGCGAGGTAAGTCTGCGACCTCTCTTATTTCAAGATTTCACCATAGATCCGGGGGTTTTAGATGATTTAGACCTTAATAATCTAGTTGCAACACTTTAGGTGACGAGTCTTGCAAGTTTTCGAAGGAAACGCGGCAAAAAATTGCATTGGAAAACAAAATCGAGAGATTGTCCTACTTCGGTAAGAAACTGAATTTTTCTCAGTTTTTGCCTCCATTTATTAAGCGTCGTGAGTATCAAAAAAATAGAATAAAAATATATCTGGATAGATGGACTTGAGATCTTGAATTCTTGTGAAGAAATCGATTTAATTCGAGTTACGGTTTGGAAGATAGAAAAATCTAAAATAAATAGGTTGATATAGAATTTAACCAGAATTTGGAAATTGGATGAACTCAAGCAATCGGGGACAGACACGCGGTCGCCGGAAAGGGTGGACACGCATCAAGAAATTGGTGGAGAGACATGTCTGACGCCTCCGCTGACACGCGTCCGACGGTTGACCCAACCCGACCCGCGCTCGGTGAAGCAACCCGAGACCCGCAGTCCAACCCGAAAACCTTCACGCCAATGCCTATACGACACGTGTCAAGCCCAGAAAATTCAAGAGTAAGTCTACGTCCGCTGGGGTTTGTAATGCGCCTCTACCCATGCGTTGACCGCGTGTACGCCCTGTGTCACAACCTTACTATGAAGAGAGTAGGTTGTGACCCTCATGCCATGACAAGCAAAGGGGCGTCCCTCAAGAGACGCCCATCCGGCCATATGCGGGCCAACGTAGAAGAATGCCATGATGCGATCGAGGAGGACGATGCATCATCCAACACACCACCACGCAAAGTGGGCATTGAAGACATGTTGAGACACAAGCATAACAGAGACATCAGCATGGACATGAAGGACAAGATAGGCTTGTTGAAGGGCCGGGTAGGGCCCCGGGCCTTAACCTCAAAAGTTGAGGCTTCGGAAGGAATTTGGTCATGCGGTTCGGGAGTTAAGTCCGTCCATATGAAATATGAATGCTCGCCAAGTTTGGTGTCAATCGGACATTGGACGGACAATGCACGACACCGTATGACACCTCACGAAAATCATGTCTACTCCTGGTAGAATGAAAATGGCTCAAAATGTACTATAGGGGGTACCATGGTGTTAGCTCTCCACCACCCCTGGGCCCTATGGCCTAAGTGAGCTACCTTGTGGCACATACGTGTGTCACAGTGTGGGCGAGCGTGCCGAGACGAGTGTCTCGGGGCGACTTCCTTTGAAATGGGTTTTTGAAGGACAGTACCGGACGGCACGAGTGTGCCGGTATTGCGCCCTAGCCCGCATGTCGGAGGTTGCTACATACACCCGCTATCCGGTACGGTATCCGCAAATGACTCGGCATGGGCACGGGAGGGCCTATGCCTCGATAGAACCCGGATAGATGGATGTTCGGGAAGTCCCGATGAGATGAACGACACGTGGGCCCATTCTCGATGGCATGACCGAACGAGTTATGATGAGCGACGACATCCCGAGACTCGGGATGGCGTCAAGACATATGGACCCT